ATCGAATGCTTTACTAAAGTCCATGATTAAACAATCCGTTTGTTTCCCTTCATCGATGTTTCTTGTGATGTCATCAATAAAGTCCACAAGCTGGGTTTCGCATGAGAGGCCCTTTCGGAATCCATGTTGTAAAGGATTAAGGATATTGTGTCTGTCTGCATGTGACATGATGTTGCTTGTTACTAGATGTTCCATTATTTTGCATGTTATACAGGTTAGGGAGACAGGTCGGTAATTGATCGCTTCATAATTTCTCCCTTTTTTATATATTGGACATACTGATGCTGTTTTCCATATTGTTGGTACTTGTCCTGTTTCATATGATGAACTAAATATAACGCAGAGTATAGGTGCTATGTCTGCTGCCAATTCTTTTAGTAATCTAGGTGTTATCCCGTCTGGTCCTGCGGCTTTATGTATGTTGAGGTTTAACAACAACTTTTCTACTAAGTCGTACGAACGAGATACTATGTCGTAGGTACGACATAATAAGTCGTACGAACGAGATACTCTGTCGTACGTACGACATAATAAGTCGTACATACGACATAATAAGTCGTACGTACGACATAACAAGTCGTTCGAACGAGATACTAAGTCGTACGTACGAGATAATAAGTCGTACGTACGAGATGCTAAGTCGTACGAACGAGATACTAAGTCGTACGTACGAGATACTAAGTCGTACGAACGAGCCTGGAGATAACATTAACCCCTTGTAGTCATGTGTACAAGATAATGTTACTTATACGATATAATATGTAGTTATTCGGATTTCTTTATAATATCATGAATAGACGGACGTGCCAATAGTTGTGCTTTTGTTTGCTAAAACGGAAGAACCTAAATTCCATATACATATGCAATTTCAATCTATTTAACAGTAAAAAAAAAAGTCAATTTTAATCCAAAGCAGCCCCCGTCCACCCCTCAAAGAATCTGATATTTTGATGGATTTTTATCGAAGGAATATTATAAATAAAGCTTTTCAGGCGGTACCGAAGTGGGTGAAAAGTACAAAAATCCCGAAAATGAAAAAAATTTCTTTAATTATATGGTTTATATTTATGTTTAATGTCCTTTTAATTAGAAAAGCTCGGATGTTTTGAGACTGACATTCAACATTTTTACAGTGACCTGGTTCGAATCACCTGGTGGCACACGTTTACTTCTATAAAAACAGGCTTGTGTATTTCACTTCATTTTCCTCTAAAAATGATTTCTTTTTCTTTAGAGATAAACGACATTTATGAGAATGTAGACCAGAAATATTATTTTCTAAAAATTATTCCACAGTGTAAGCATTCATTGTTTGAGGACAAGATTTATTCATTCTCCCTCACGATGAAGGAGTCACACACAAACGCCCCCCCCCCCCTAAAAAAAAAACAAAAAAAAAAAACATGAATGACATGCGGTTGATCCTAGTATACATCCCCCCCCCAAAAAAATAAAATGCGTGAATAATCTAATACATTTAATCTCGGAAAAGTTTCCAAACGAATCAATTAAAATGAAATCGCAGAAGTAGTAAATGATGTGAGGGACAGAATATCTTCTAGATTTGATTTTAAGAAGATTATTTATCTATTAAACGAAGATAACATTTTTCTAACAGGTTTTACGTATATGATCAGCTTGAAGACCTGGGGGCCGTAACAGAAAGCACGCTATTTAGATTTTAAATGACTTTAAGCAAAGTTGCCACCCTAAAATTAATATATATACCTGAAATGTCTCTTTATCAAATAAATAAGCCGTAAACTATAATTTGATAAGAAAAAAATGATTTATTTCAGCTGTTAAATTTGATCATTTTCATATGGAGCTCTTCTTCTAAAGGAGAGCAATATTGTCTAAAATGGCCACGCCACCTCCCCCCTCACCCCCCCCCCCCGCCCCCTTAAGCAGGGTTGCGCTTACAAAGTGTTCACCCAGAAAAATAAAGAAATTAAAATTTCTTGCAGTGACGTAGCATCGTTTTTGAAAGGGGAAAGGGGGCAGCCAGAGAAAAAAACTTACCTGAAAAAGTTGACAAGTAAAAAATTGCCCTAACAAGAAAACATTATTTTGGGGAGGGGGGGGGGCTTTTTAAAGTTCCAACTCTTCTTTCAGTACAATTTTCCCCCATATAATACTACATGTACATTACCCTTATTTCACTTTACTATATCACAAAGCGGGTGATGGGGCAACCGGCCTTTCAATGCAAATTTTAAACAATGATATTGCTATCTGCCTGTTTTAGTAATATGCGTATTTATACATTGTGTCCTATTTATCTACAAATTTTCATGAAATTTTATGCAGCTGTTTAAGAATAATTATGCTTATAAAAAAAACAAAGAAATAAAAAAAGGACTGACGGACTAACTGACGTGCCAAAGACATTATATTAAACACTCTTTCAGACTTTCTAGACGATATCCTAAATAGCCATTTACTCTTGATAATAGCATTCTAAGCCCGAAATTAATAAGGCTTTGAAAATAGGCATGCAGGGCCACGGGTAAAATCAATATATTATATTGAATAAAATCTTTATCCTTCCTAGTCTATAATTTATGAATTGTAATAAACTAACAGTTTTGCAGATAAATATGCAATAAACTATGTGAAATCCCAAGTTCGAATCGGGCAGAGGTGGATGAACTTGCTTGATTTGAATTTTCTGCACTCCAACAAACAATTCAAATCAAGCAAGTTTATCGCCAGTAGAAACGATATATAAAGGGCTAGAAGGTTGATAAAATAAACATATTGGTTAAAAAATTTGTTTAGAATTAGGGATAGACCAATGCTGGAAAGTGTGAAAATTCTTCCCAAAAGTGCGTTCAAATCTTGCGCCGAAGATTGCACATTATTTGCATTTAATATATGATCAAAAACTAATAAAGCTACAGTTTTACAGCTACGTTCTGAGTATCTCGTACGTACGACTTAGTATCTCGTTCGTACGACTAATTATGTCGTACGTACGACTTAGTATCTCGTTCGTACGACTAATTATGTCGTACGTACGACTTAGTATCTCGCTCGTACGACTTATTATGTCGTACGTACGACTTAGTATCTCGTTCGTACGACTTAGTATCTCGTTCGTACGACTTATTATGTCGTACGTACGACTTAGTATCTCGTTCGTACGACTTACTATGTCGTAGGTACGACATAGTATCTCGTTCGTACGACTTAGTATCTCGTTCGTACGACTTATTATGTCGTACGTACGACTTAGTATCTCGTTCGTTCGACTTATTATGTCGTACGTACGACTTAGTATCTCGTTCGTACGACTTACTATGTCGTAGGTACGACATAGTATCTCGTTCGTACGACTTAGTATCTCGTTCGTACGACTTATTATGTCGTACGTACGACTTAGTATCTCGTACGTACGACTTACAATTTTTTTTTTCAAGTGGCAGCAATACGCTTCCGTACTTCCGTAAGTTTACGTATGGTAAATCAAATTCATTTTGATTGTTGGAAATATTGAAAATATTTCAAACTGGTAATAAGTTTTGAAGAATTTTCTCTTTTGACAAAACATTTACTTGTCTTGAAATTTATATTTCTTATATCATCTAAAAAGGAACTAAATGCATGGTGCTGCGATCTTTCAGATCTTCATTTTTATAATACTTAGAGTAATTCTGTCGAAAATTATTCCACACAATCTGCTAAAAGGAAAAAAAAAAGATCGAAACACTTAGTGCATTTAATAAATGTTAAAGAAATACTAGAATATTAAAGAATCTTGTAAGAAAACATACAGGCATTATACGAATAATCTATCCTTCTGCTTTTCCTTAAGCAGAGGGATCAAAGAATTTGAGAAAATAATACACATTATGTACAATATCGTCTTTGTTTGCAAGACTCAGTATCATACCCTCTGTATTCTAGAAGAAATTGGTTTTAATTTTATTCCTTTTTCTGGAATGCCAACCAATACTAACAGTTCACTTTGTAAAGATGAAGTTCTTCAAAATCATAATTCAATATTTAAAACTTTTAACATTCAAGTCAAACTCCTGAAGCTTTCACTAAATAAAATCCTTACTGACAGATATGAAATGCAGGGTCAAGTAAGTACTCTGCTCAGTCCCTATCCTTACAAACATATTAACTGCTGTGAATGATAGAAACTTTAGAGACATGCTGTTTTACCGCTTTTTCTGGAAGTGGTGAATATCAGATGTGGATCCTTCTGAATTCTACACACAAGTACTCAAAAGTTGATATTCTAAAGGATGCTGGAATTCTAATTTAATTGATAACATCTATGTAGTCTTTGGAGACCAGTTTACCCGACAAACCAACTTATTAGTAAGTCAGACAGTATCCTTTTGGTAGGAATTTATTTATTTTACTTCACACTGCACTGAATTTATAAATGTTTTCCCATGGCAAAGTGTTCGCTAACAGAGTGCTTATAAGTTATGTTCATATTTTTTCTTTGTTATTATTTATTTTCCCCTAAATTATCACTTAAATATTCCAGCTATACAGAGTCAAGAAATTCTTCAACTTACTCCTGAAAGTTGTCCAGATATCAAAGTTTTATCAGAATAAATATACATACATCTAACATGTTTAGATAGCTATCATATCTGGGTTTTTGTGGGCTGGTGTTATTAGATTAATATGAGCTTTTGTGCACTGGGAGGAGAAGGGCAGAGGTGGTGGTGAATTTACAGACATGTGTGCATGCCATTATAAGAAATAATTTTATGAAGATGATCAAGAAATTGACTTGCATGATACAGCATTTTAGACATTTCAAAATGCTTCCGTGAGTCATATGTTTTTACTTACAAATATACTTTGATTAGATTATGATTGCATTCAAGTAATATAAACAGAACTGAAACTTAGTCAAACCAGTAACAAAAATCATATATATCTGGGCATGGCATTAATTAATACATTGGAAAGGGTAAAAAAAATATTAAAACAACACTTATTATTAAAATGTTACTGATATAAATTTATTAATAAATATAATAGAGTACATTAAATATATAACATATGATAATTACTATTGGTATGCTTTGATTGTAGGTTGGTGCATATTTGTAAAGATATAAAGTTGCTTATACATGTATTACAGTTCCTGGTTTTTCCTACCTAGCGAAATCATATTAAGTTATATCACAGATCTGGTCATTCTCATTGCACAAAATCAGAGGTTATAAATTGGATATAAGTATTAACAAACATATGAAAAACAAATGAAGTTGGTTAAATCTATATAATATAAAAACTTTCTTGAAAAAAATCTAAAAAGTAATGCAAAAAGAAAAACAAGAAATTGGACGGAATTCAAATAAAATATAAAAATTCAAAATATAATAAAATTATGAGAAAAAAGGGATAATTTTCTACAGTATTATATTATGTGGACCAGCCACATTTCACAGTCTGGATGCTGTTCCCACTTTGTCAGCTAGTCTCTAGGCTTCGGAATCTCTTTTTCGGGTTCTCTTTTTCCTCAGTCTTCCTGCTACAATCTTAGCATCCCCAAACTTCTTCATGGACGGAACTTCTCCTTTTCTAGGTTTCTCTGTCAATGAATCAAGGTGAAAAATAAAATGACTATGTTATGGCATTTAATATAAAATAATAAACTGTCAAGAAGAATGACTTTAAAAAAATCTACCATGAGTTGATGGTTTCTCCTCTTCAAATCCTGAGTTAATATAACCTTCTCCCTCTTTGTTTGGCTCAGATGTTGACCACTTGCTGTTGGCTGACCATTTGCTGTGGGACGACTGCTTGCTTTGGACGGAATGCTTGCTATGGACAGAGTGCTTGCTTTGGATGGAATGCTTGCTATGAGTGGATGCTCCTGAGGATGGTCTAGACCCCCTGGGTGAGGTCCCGGAAGTTTGTCTCAGACCTGGTCCCAAAATAGCTGAATGTGGCCTTGACCCAGACGATGGTCTGGACTCTGGACGGGATGAGCCTGAGGAGGGTCGGGGATCATCAGAACCACCCTCCTGTCTGGTGGTGCCACTCTGTGGTCGATTAGTGGTGCTCTGTAGGGCAGTCCCGGGGCGGCTTCCACTAGCGGTGGAGTGGTCAGCTGACACTGGATTTTCTAGTAAAGTCTGGGACCTGTGAAATAAAAAAGTATTCTTTCTATTTTATGTATTCATTCAAACATACTTTTCCTGTAAAAACTTTCAAAAAATTGTAATTTTTTTCATAATTAATTTAATATGGTTAAAAAAGCCCGCTGTTACCACTCTCAATTTTGAAAATAACTAGAAATATGTCCATAGGACATGAATGCCCCGCCGAGGATATATTAGTAAAGCAACATGAAAATTTGTATGTGTATAAAATTTGATCAGTTTGGTTCAGGTAGGGCTTGTAGTTAGTAGGGAATACAAGAGGCCCATGGGCCTTATAGGTCACCTGAGCATTATGCAACAACTTTCCAGTGATTGAATTTGATCCATGTTTTAAGCCAGATGCTAAAGCATTTACAATTTTGATCATCATAACTATACACTTAGAAGTTGCTTAGTTTGGTTACTTAATACCCATAGGCAGGGTAGGGGAACAAAAAATGCTTTTCAACAAATCAATAATATTCAGCAATAATCAGTAGTGCCGCTAACACACATGAACCCTTGACTCTTAGGCCTAGATCCAATCATTGCACAATTTTTGAAAAGACATCATTTTCAGTATATAAGTACAGCCCCCCCCCCCCCCCCCCCCCCGGTACAACTGACCCTGGGGCCTTGAAATTCAATATTCTTGAAGATAAGGGCCCTTGCTCATAACTATATAGGTAGTTCATCTGCTTAATACCCAGGAGCAGAGAAGAAAATATTCAAAGATTTAATGTTTTTTCACTATACATGTATAATCAAAGAGCCCTGCCCTAACACAAGAACCCCTGAGCCTGGGGCCATAAAATTCACAATTTTGGTAGAGGCACTCTTGCTCATCATAACCATGTACTTAGTTAGTTTATTTAAAACCTAGGAGCAGAGAAGAAGATTTTCAAAGAATTCGTGTATTTTCACTATATAATCAAAACAGCCCCGCCCTAACACAAGAACCCCTGACCCTGGGGCCATAAAATTCACAATTTTGGTAGAGGCACTCTTGCTCATCATAACTATGTACTTTGTTAGTTTATATAAAACCTAGGAGCAGAGAAGAAGATTTTCAAAGAATTCATGTATTTTCACTATATAATCAATAGAGCCCCGCCCTAACACCAGAACCCCTGACCCTGGGGCCATAAAATTCACAATTTTGGTAGAGGCACTCTTGCTCATCATAACCATGTACTTAGTTAGTTTATTTAATACCTAGGAGCAGAGAAGAAGATTTTAAAATAATTCATGTATTTTCACTATATAATCAATAGAGCCCCGCCCTAACACCAGAACCCCTGACCCTGGGGCCATAAAATTCAAAATTTTGGTAGAGGCACTCTTACTCATCATAACTATGTACTTAGTTAGTTTATTTAATACCTAGGAGCAGAGAAGAAGATTTTCAAAGAATTCATGTATTTTCACTATATAATCAATAGAGCCCCACCCTAACACCAGAACCCCTGACCCTGGGGCCATAAAATTCAAAATTTTGGTAGAGGCACTATTGCTCATCATAACTATGTACTTAGTTAGTTTATTTAATACCCAGGAGCAGAGAAGAAGATTTTTAAAGAAATAATGCATTTTCACTATATACTTATTTAGCCCCGCCCTAGCACAAGAACCCCTGACCCCAGGGCCATGAATTTCACAAATTTCGTAGAGGACTCAATGCTGATTACAATCATGCAAACAGTTTGACTGCTTGATGTCCAGGAGTAAAGAAGAAGATTTTTAAAGATTGCATTAATTTTAGTGGTTTTGGCCCCACCCCCCAGGCCCTAGGGGGGCAGGGATCATGAAATTCACAATTTTTGTTCCCCTTCACCTATAAATGTTTTGTGCTAAATTTGGTTGAAATTGGTTCAGTGGTTGCAGAGAAGAAGCTGAAAATGTTCAAAAGTTTATGACCGACTGACGACGAACGACGTACGACCGACGGACAACGACGGACGAAAACAGATAGCAATAGGTCACCTGAGTGACTCAGGTGACCTAAAAAACATAGGTCAGATCCAGCATCCGAAGCAAGTCTGGTAGTGTCCATCCCTAGATGCATCATCCATGCAAGTTTGGTTCAGGCAGGGCTTATAGTTACTAGGGAATGAAAATATAGGTCAGATCCAGCATCCCAAGCAAGTCTGGTAGTGTTCTTTCCTAGAACATCCGTGCAAGTTTGTATCAACATGTGAAGTTTGATAGCACCATCTTGAATGGTATGTTCAAATCTGAGCTAAACACTTATTTAAGAAAAGTGAGGTTAAGGTCAATAGAAAGGTCAGGGTCATAAAATGTTGATGCAGTTGCATAGCTCTCATCAATATCTATCAGCATATGAAGTTTGATGAAATATCTTGGATAGTTTCTTTGAAACTTAGCTTTGAACAGAGCTAAATGCAAAGTGTGATGGAAGAACAGAAGGACAGCTAGACAGAAGACGGACATGATAAACACTATATGGGGCATATAGTGTTTGCCACATTCATGGCGGGGCATAAAAATAAATCAGTCATATATCATTGAAAAATTATAGAGCCTTTTAAAATTGGCAATACACTGAAAACATTTTTCCCTTCCACTCTTTAATTCCAATTGTAAGCTGACAAGAATAAACATAAAATGTTAAAGTTGTATTTACCTAAGTAAGTCAAACTCCATTTCTTCCTCCTCCTGAAGTTGACTCATGATACCGGCCAAGTTCTCCTCTTCCTCCTACATAACACAAGGTTCTCATAAAACTACACATCAAATTGAATGTAAGGTTTTCATCACATAAACATTTTAAACAAAAAAGATACCAACATTTTCCTATTTTCTAATTTAAAATCAGGTAAATTCATATAAGTTTAAAGTCAGAATAAAAGCATGATTTTTACTGTGCTTTTCTATAATTTAAATATAATACACATGCTTTTTAATACTTGGAGATGAGTACATATAAGTAGGAACATGATAAACAAAGAGACAAGATAAGAGGGCGTTACCTCAGACTCGGAGCTGGCCATGGAGAGGTCGATGGAGGAGTCGTCACTTTTGAGCTCCAGGGGGTCAGGGTACAGGTCCTCATAGTAACCATCCTCCTCTGAAATAATAAAGGGAGGCAACTTATAACAGGATGTGAAAATGTGTAAATCAAAGCTGAGTCTACAGTCAACCTCTTATTTAAAGTGATTGAAACTTTCTAAAAATTTACAATACAATACGGCAGTATTACAAGTATGAGTATATAAATATCCACTGCATTAAAAATCAGCAACATCAATAATTCTTCCATATTTTATTTGGTGTACCTTCCAGGTTCAGGCTGTAAGGTTCCTCATGCCAGATTCTCTCTAAAGCTGGCTGTGTAAACATGGCCTTCTTTCTTACTTTCTCCGCTCTGCCGTTCAGG